GGGGCCATGGGACCTCTGGGTATGCCGCGGCATCTGTGAAAGATGATGTCTGTACCTTTATCGGGGTGGTGGAGTCGCAGGGGAAAAGGGGTGTCTGTGCTTGCTCATCTGTCAAACTGCGTTGAGTAGCCGAGTTTGATTTTAAGGCATTAGGGCTCCCCTTGGTTTTTGGGTTACCATCAACAGATCAGCGCGATGGGATTGCAGTGTTTTTCGACATGTACACGGCCTGGGTTCCTTTGCTTGCCTGCTCCATGAAATCCCCGACGACCTGCCTAAACTCCACGTCGTAACAGATGGCTTCTAGTGTGGTTTAGGGTGGAGTGCTGCCCTAAAAGTTTCAATCCCAGGGTCTGGCAGCCTACCAGGACCCCCAAAAGTACCCTTGGAGGCTTTAAAGCTATGTTTGAGGAGCTAGGAACCCCTACAGTTTGATCAAAACACAAATGCGGTGTACTTCGGCGATAAACGACCCTAAACCCGAAACCCCCAAACCCTCAACAAGACGGTAGTTAGGGGTTCCAGCGACTTTGAATGCCTGCTTTTGAAGGATCATTGGGCGCAGTAAGTAGGTATAGGTACCTCTGGTCTGCATTGACAATGCAGTGTAGTTCCTTCTTGGCCTTACAGGATCCTGAAGACATCACTGGTTTAACACCCAAAAAAGGGAACTACAATGGATACTATAGGTAGGGGGTTCAGGGCCGTTCAGGGTCGGGTCAGGAGCATTTGTGTTAAGGGTCTAGGATTTGTATAGGTCATTGTTGTGTTCTTGGTCGGTTAGTGTTTGGTTCAGCCATCCGGGTTTCAGGTGTAATAGATACCATCTCAGTCCCAAAACATAAGTGCAACACCCGTTGATCGGTGTTTTCCTATAATCTCGATGAAATGATGTTGTATGTTGAGAGTTGAGAGTGCGGCATTGGGGTCCAAGGTTAGAGGTTCAGGTTTTGGTGGTTAGCGGGTTGTGTTCTCTAGCGAGTTATAGCATCAGGCGTTTGAACGAGCGAAAGCCAAGTCTAAGTGGAAGTTGCAACAGTTGAGGTTGCAAAACACCTTCTTCGGGGTTCTTGTGACATGGATCTCATTATCCACGGTGTATACAAGCGGTCTGTTTTTCGTGAGATTCGCATGCGCTTGTCTCTGGTCGCTCTCCTGCTGATTGCACAGGGCACGACGATGAAGCCAAATCTAAACCCTCAACTCTAAACCCTTAAACCCCTAAACAGCTAAACCCCTAAACCCCAAACTCTCAACCCAACACTCTGCACCCGAGAGTCTTCAAGAGTCATCAGGAGCCACCCGTTATTTCGCATCTCTTCAACTTAGAGGTTTTCATGTTCATGTTGGCTTACTATTTTAAAGTATCGAAGATCCTCAAGCCGGAATATAGATTCGGATTGAAGGACCATAGTATTCAGGGCGTAGGTTTGAGTATTCTACAGCTCCCTCTTTAATTGTATACTATACTATACCATACTCCCCAAATACGTACCTTGTTCTATAGTAGAAGCCCACAAGTTGAAAACCCAATAGCTTCAATCCTGAGGAGTAGTCTATAGGGAATCCCAGCACTATTTGTCCTTAATCCAGTTTCCAACTTTTTCGGGTCTACTGTAATCTTTGAGGCCTCTGCAGGATCTGCTCTAGGCTCCTCTATTCCCTCGCCTCTTTTGGTGTTTTTGAGGGAGGGTCTTTCAGGGTTTAATTAGGGTTATAGGTTCTGTTTTTTTTTGGTTGTGATTGGTTTAGGGATTTAGGTTTAAGTTTCCCCAAACTGCAGGTCCTTCAGCAACGCGTTGTTCGTGTGAGTGGGGAGCTCCATGCCACGCCAGAATCGTGGCTGAGAATAAAATCGCTATTCCTTCAACAGCCTTGTAGGCCCAATAGAGAGGCCCTCATAGAATCGTCAGCAAATGGTTGTAAAGCTTATCTATGCCTGTGGTTTGCTTGTTACAGATCCCGTTCCCGGACACTGATAACCGAGAGAAAACGAAGCAGGAGCATTTTGTGGAATGGGTTGTGTAGGGCGATGTAGTTCGGAGTTTAGGGCTTAGGGACTACCTATAGTCTCCATTGTTCTTGTTTTGACGAACTAGTCTTATGGTTAGGATCCTATGAACATAAATTTGGTTAACCAAAAGAGGAACTACAATGGAGACTCTAGGTAGGATTTAGGGTCTCTAGTCTCAAGGGAAAAGGGAACCTTGGGCGCACTTAGCTCACAAACCTGCTTGCAACCCGACCCAGGCATGCAAAAACTGAGCGGGGAGTGGGGGGGTGGGGGGGCTGGATCTGGCATTTCTCAAGGACCTCAGAAGGTGGAATAAGGTAGGTAGGATAGGGATCATGGCTCTTGCTGGGGTATCAACCCACCTACTTTTGAGGCCTTAATGATTACTAAATGCAGTTTGTGGTTCCTTATCCTAGCTCTAGTATAAAGGAGCCCAAAACCCTATTCCTCTTGAGAGTCGGGTGTCGGTTCGGCAGGCTTCGGGGAGGAGGGCTCCATGCTGCGGTTCTTTTAGGGTTTTGGGTGAGATTTTCGGGGTTTTCGTGTCCTTCTTCAGGCTGCCTGTGGACTGTAGGGTTGAAGGTTAGGACTTAGTTGCCCCATGGTCACCGCCGATGATATCCTGAACATCCGAAGCCTCAAAGCACTGCAAGCTCCACCCATCCACACCATCAGCCCTATGACTATGAGCAGAAATGCTAGGAAGGGCGCACTCTCAAAACGTTTTTGAATATGGCTTCCGGGGGTTTCTAGATTTATGGATCTGGGGGTTCAGTTCCAAGCTGGGGAGTATCAGGGCTTTCACCTGTTCGATATAAGTTGCTCCAGAAGGCATCCGAAAGGACTGGGGGACCTATCGAGCCGCTTCATCTCTCTACATGAAGAGGTGTTTTCTGTTTTGGGCTACTACTGCAACACGGCACAGTACAATACACGCACCATTCAAGAGGGGGCTTGGTAAGTGTGATTACCAAGCACCTGTCTGGGTATAGACGAAGCTATAGCTACCGTTCTACTATTTGTAGCCCTGCCTACAAAGTTCCTCCTAACTATGAGCCCCAAGCACTCACCCTCAAATCCCAAGCCCCGGGCCCTGTTTTGGGTAGATCCAAAGCCCTGAGCACAAAAAAAGCATTGCAGCAGTGAGCCAGTGCCCAAGCCGAATCGGCTCAAGCAGACAGGCTCGGTCAAAGAGAGGCCGACATATGACTCTTGGCGGTTAGGAGATAAGCTAGTCTCCACATGAGTTGGTTCATGATTCCATGCGTAAAAACGGTTGATGATGAACATCGGCAGAGGCCCATCTCTAGGCCCTAAACCCTATCACTAAACCCTAAACCCTGTCTAAAGCTGCTTCCTATTCAAAGGAGGTGCTTTGAAAGCCATACAAAATCTGACTTCTTTTGCCGGCCCCTATCGGCCCTTGTTCAGCCCAGACACACCCTACAAACAATGGATCCGAGCCCATTCGAGCCAAAGCTTGGCCGCCATATAGGGTTGGAAAGCCCCACCAAAATATTCGGGTCAATGCTTGGTCAAGAATGTCTGACAGCATTCCCCCATGCCCCGAACAAGTACTACTTCTGTATGATTGTGCTGATTCATAAGCCCCCCACGCACTACGTACTCCAAGCATTCAAGCCCTAAACCCTAAACCGTTAACCTCCATTCAGCTCCTTATGAAAACCCCAAACCCGAAACCCTAAACCGTTAGCCTCCCCACCCTTCCAGGGCTCTGGTGTAAGACTTCCTGCTGCCGGGCACCCCCCTCGCCCCAGCCAATGCGGCAACGTGAGGGAGCGCTCACGACTCAACCAGGCCTGGCACTGTGAAGGGCTTTTGTTATAGGGTATATACATATATACACATGTTGATGTATGATATATGTATGTAGTACTTGCAAGTATTATTTCTTGGGGTTCCTTAGTATAAGTAGACTATAAGCTATAAAGGAACCAAAGCCCTATTCTATTTTGCAGGTGTATGGCTTAAGGCTTAGAGGCTCCAAGCTGCAGTGCGGTTTGTATGCGTTCATGTAGAGTCGAAGATTGGCAGGTGTTTCTGGACACCCAAGGGTCCAAAGGACCCAATAATCAGGTACTTAAGTTATGTCGGTTACTATGTGGGAGAGTATATGATTATTAGGTACTTGGACCCTTAGGGGATACCATGTAGTACTTGTATCTGAGATTGTGTTCGATTTGAGTCTTCATGGTCGGCTCGAGACTAAAATCAATTCAATCTCTCCGGCCCTGGCCGTGTGGAGAAACCTCAATTGGGAGTTTCCGAAAATAGGGGGGCCTTATTTTGGGGTCCTTATAATAGGGATCCTACTATTTAGGGTACTATATTAGGGTCCCCTACTTTCTGAAACCCCCAATTGGACCTTTTGCAGTCTTTGTTGAGCAGTGAAGCCCTCACACCAAAATATGCTGGACCCCTGAACCCCAAAAGCCTAAACCCTAAAGCGCCTAGATGCAAACCTCAAGCATTCTACGCTTTGATCTCAACCAGAAGAGCTCAACGCCAAGATCTTTATCTTCAGAGCCGCAGATGTTAAGGTTTAGGGTTTATGACTGCAGTAAGTGCGGCTCGGACTTGGGAAAAACCCATGTGTGGCAGCCCTATTTCGCTAAACCACAGCTGAAGCCACAAAATGTAGTAATCCAAAACTTGCCCTAGTTCAAAACTTGTTCACCCCAAACCCTTTCCGCTTTGACCTCCTGTGCCGAAGCCTGTCATCGTCTTGTCGTTGGTGGTCCGAAGCTTCAGACATGCAAGAGCTCAAGAGCTGCTTTTTGCGTCAAAAGCCCGACAACTAAACCCTAAACCCTAAAC